CCTCAAAACATAGAAAATGACAGTAATGAGTATGTATAACCCAATAAGATTAAATTGAAACTAAAAGAAAGAATGATAATTAAATGACCTCCCTCATTACTATCNNTATTTCGGTAGTCTTACGCTACACCCATACCCTTTCTAATCAACCCCACTTTATCATACCTCTCATGTAAAGGTCTGGAATTTAAAAAGAAATAAATTATAAATTAAATGCGAAAGCAAAATGATAGAGTTAGGGTTTACATTCTTTACACAATAATTTAGAATACCCAATAGGGCTACGAGAATGATCCTTCTAAAAGAACAAACGAAAAATTAAAAAAATAAATGAAAAGCAAATAATTAGGCATCTTATTGATCGGTATTTGAATCTTGGTCCTTTTGATCTGAAATGGTAAATGAAAGGGTGAACTATACTAATCCAATAAGAATATTACACCACTCACCGATACAGAAATGAAGGTTGATAAAATCATAAAAACAACCGATTGAACTTTTAATTTAAACAAATTCATTCGTCATAAATAAAATCATTTATTGCATACTTACCGTAGCGAGATTTTTAAAATCGATCTATAGAGGTAATAACACAAACAACATCATAATCTCAAATTCAAGTGGCTAGAATAATAACTTTTTCTTTTTTCTTTGCTTACTAGTATCCCTGGGGGTCCATAGAGATGTCCCACTACGCGTGAACCCATATCAAATCTTGTCAACTAACCAACCGTTGTCATACCTCATCCAGTATGAGTGCCAAAAGTACTATCTCTCAATATCCTGTCCAGTATGAGAGTGAATCGAGTCGGTCCCATGCTCAATCAGGTATGAGTGCTAAAGATATCATTCATCGATACTCCGTCTGGTATGAGACAACATTCACAGTAGGGTTCTCTATGTACCCAATTCGTCCACTATCTCCTATGATATCCAATAAGACAACTATTCACTCATTCACTTAACCAATCAATTTTTCGTTTGCATTTTCATTTTCAACTTCACAATTTAACCATAAATCACGAAAGACAAGCAATACATGTATCAAGGTAACACAATTAAATCATGTTACCAATTTCAATATATTATCATGCATTTAAGACTGTAAAATCAAATAATCAGTTAAAATAGGACAAACATTAATAAATAACCGGTTTTGCCTCTATTAGTAACATTTAATTAATTTTCGAAGTTTTTTAAATTACGCAAAATACCGTATTATTGATAACTAAACTTTAATTTTATAACAGAGAATAAGGTGAGAAATTTTTATCCGAATTAGTGTCTGAAATACTGAACTTCTACTGCGCCTACTAGGGATCTCTAGGTTTCTTAAACTTTTATGCAGAGACTAAAACACGCTTTACATACCTAAAAATCTAAAATTGGTGTTAGAAATCCTTTTATGGACAATTTTGGGGTTCCACATGGTGACACTGTTGTGCTCCAGTGACTGCACAGCCATCCATAGCGGCGATTTGCCTCAACCTAGCCGTTTTCGGTCAATTTTGGCCGTTTTTGGCCGGTTTTATACCCATCCATGCGAGAAAACACATTAGGGGTTCTCAGTTGACTAAAAAAAAATCAAAAAATAGAAACCTACCGACGATGAAATTTTTTGGTGTGGCAGCTCTGCCGGCTCACCTTCATGGCTGGACGTTTTCCTTCGATTAACCTATAGAAAAAAGAATGGTGAACACAACTGTGAAAAAATCACACAAAATGGGAATTGGAAAGGGATTCATCGGAGGCAGTTGCAATTTTTTACCCGCGACAGCGCTGTCGGACTTTGCTCGTAGTTTCCGACTCACCCGCCATTTATTTTGCTCCGATATAGCCATATGGGGTGCTCGAAATCGAATTCTGAGTGGGTGGAAGAATTTTTACCTTTTTTTGTGGTCGGAAGTGGCTTCGGTGTGCAAGAGGCTGTAACACGCAAAACTGAAAAGGAGATAAAGATATGAATTGCATGCGGAAGCAAAACAATAGAGTTTAGAGTTTACATTCCTTACACAATAATTTATAATGTCCAATAAGATTACAGGAATGTCTATTCTAAATAAACAAATGAAAATCAAAAAAATAAACAAAAGATAAACAACTAACATCTTAGAACGACCTTCACTAGCTTTTGAATGAGTCTAGGTGGTAAACTATTCATAACTCTCTTGTTGATCGGGATCTGCGTCTTGGTCCTCTTGATATGAAATAGTTAATGAAGGAGTGAGCTACAGTAGTCTAGTAAAAATATCACACTACTTACCGATACATAAAATGAAAGGTGGTAAAGATTATAAAAACAACCAATTGAGCTCTTAATTTAAGTAAATTTATTTATCATAAGTAAAATCATTTATTGCATACTTATTGTTACGAGATTTCTAAAACTGACCTATAGAGATAATAGGTCAATAACATCATAATATCACATTTAAGTAAGCAAGAATAACAACTTTTCCTTTTTATTTGCCTACTAGTACCCATAGGGGTCCATAGGAATGTCCCACTACGCGTGAACCAACATCCAACCTTGTCAACTAATCGGCCGTCCCTATACCCTGTCTGGTACGAGTACCAAAAATACCATCCCTCAATACCACGTCCAGTATAAGGGTGAAACGGGCCGTTCCCATGCCCTGTCTTGTATGAGCGCTAAAAATACCAATTCTCGATACCCCGTTCGGTATGAAGTGATGTTCACGGTAGGGTTTCCTATGTCCCCAGTCTGTCCACCATCTTCCAGAATATCCAGTAAGGTTTCCATTCATTCATTTACTTAACCAATCAATTTTCTGTTAACTTTAATTTTCAGTTTCACAATTTAACCTTAAATCAACGCATGAAAATAATACATACATTAAGAAAATACAACTGAATTATTTTTTCAGTATGAATCAAACAATCGGTTAAATATAAAAAAAATAATAAATAACCAGTTATGTATTCATTAATAACCTATGATTAATTCTCAAAACTTTCTAAATTATACAAAATACCGTATTATTGATAATTAGACTTCAATTCCATAATAGAGATTAAGGTGAGGGATTCCTACCCGAATTAGTGTTTGAAATACTAAACTTTTTATTGCACATACTGGCGGTCCCCGGATTTCCTGAATTTTCCTGCAGAGGTAAAAACACGCTTCATATACCTAAAAATACCCCAAAAAAACTAAAATCGATGTTAAAAACCTTTTTTTAGCTAATTTTAGAATTTCAACATGGCAGCATCGTCGTGCTCCAACGACGACACCACTACCCACGGCGATGGTTTGCCTCAGATTGGCTATTTTTGGTCAATTTTGGTCCGTTTCAGCTGGTTTTATACCTATCCCTACGAAAAAATACGTTAAGGGTCATTGGCTGGCCGAAAAAAGTCGAAAACCAAAAATTTACCAACGGCGAGATTTTTCGATACGGCGGCTTAGCTGGCTCACCTTTGCGATTGAACTTTTTTTTGTCAACCTGTAAAAAATAGAATGATGAACACAATGGTGGAAAAATCACATAAAATGGGAAACGGAAAGGGGCTCATCGGAGGCCGTCTTCAGTTTTTCCTGCTGCGGTGCCGCCGGGCTTTACCCATAGTTTTCGACTCATCCGCCGTTCTTTTTACTCTAATTTGGCCATGGAGAGTGTTTAAAATTAAATTTCGAGCGAATAAGAGAATTTTTACCTTTTTTGGCAGCCGAAGGTGGCTCTGACACGACGGCGGTGGCGGTCGGCTCCCTTCTCTGGCGAATGGTTTTTCTTCTCTGGTGGGTGGCTGGTGGCTAAGGTTTAGGCAGGTTTTAGCTGATTTTGCATTAAAACCTGCAAAAAACCAAATTAGGGGGTCTTTGTTTGCCTAAAAAGGCAAAAACTGAAACCCTATCAGTATAAGGGTCTCCGGATATGGTGGCTCTGTCACGTGATGCATTCTGACTCGGCGTTGCTGCTAACGTGGCCGTCTCACATGGTCGAATTTTTTTTTTTTTTTTGCAATTTTACCTCTTGTTTTAAATTTTTCTTTCAAAAGCATCTCATCTTATTCACAATTTCTCTTTTTTTTCTAAATTATATTCAATTTCATCCATAAATCTATTTTTCTCAAAAATTTTACAAAATTAAAATAGAATAAAAATTAAATTATTTCAGTATATTATTTTGTTAATTGTAAAATTACAACGGACCAAATATTCGGACCCGGGTGTTACAAAATTAATCCAAATATTTTAAATTAGAATGCTAATATTCATAAGAATAGACAAACTTTAGATGATTGAGATTTTGAAATGTAAAAATACTGTGTAGATTTGTGTGTGTTGATAAATTTTTCTGAGTAGAAATTAAAAATAAAGTAAAATGTTATATATTTAATTAATTCATACTGAAATAGCGCCACTATTTCATATATCATAATTGGGAAGCCCGGTGTCCCAATTAAAAATAGAAACTTGAGTACGACCTTAATTTCACGGGCATGAATTTAATAACTCCCTCTGGACCACGCGATTTTTAGGATGGGGGGCGTTGGTGGGTTCCCCCACCCCCCACCCCTGGTGCATTGATTTATTTATTTATTGATCTCATCGTTAATTTACTGCTTAATATTTATAAAAATATTTTTATGACGAATTAAATAAACTTATTTAAAACTAATTAAAATACTATTAATTAAGGCTAATTTTTCATATAAAATATATTTAATTTTTATTTTGCATTTAAAAATTATTAATACAAATTAATAAATTACTCTTCAAAAGTTGATATTTATTATAATTTAATTTATAATATTTTTTTTTTATTTATGTATTTTTCTCTTCTTTTAGTTTCCCACGTTTTATAAACAAAACATAAGCTATTTTACATGATTGGAGGAGAAAATAAGAAACACAAAAAGTTATATAAAAAATATATGTATATTTTTTTATAAAAAAAATATCAGCAGTTATCTTCACTTCACTACATCTATATATAATGAATCTATCTACCCTTTATAACCATATATATATAATATCTATATCTACATATACATACAGAAATTATTATAACCCTAAATTTTATTTGTATTACTAATCTTCTATATATAAATCCTGGAAAAGGGTTTGCGTTCTTGAGACTGCAATAATGGAGAGGGGCTTTCTCGGTTTGCAGTGGAAAGATTCATGTCATCAGAAAAACAAAAATGCATTCAATGATTCAGGTATGTATATATATAAATATATATATATATATTATATGTATATACACTGTCTAGGACCTTTTGATCTTCTTTTCTTTTTTAGTTCTTTATTTTTTATTATAAATTCTCTGTTCCTTTAACTAGCTCAAGTACAGTTCATCCTTCGTTTATATGCCTGCTGCTTCTCTCTCTCTCTCTCTCTCTCTCTCTCTCTCTCTCTCTCTCTCTCTCTCTCTGTCTTTCTGTGGATATATATATGTATGTATGTATGTATGTTTGTATGTATTTATGTATGTATGTGTATACATATTACTGTGGCTCGACGATTTGCTCTTCACCTCCATGTAAATGATGAATGGTTCGAGCTTATTTTGATGTTGAATTATATGTAATAGTTTCCAGCGAGTGTATTTTCTTGGAAAGTATAGTAAATATATATTTTCTTGGAAAGTATAATCATAGTAAATATTTTTTTTTTTGTTTTTGGATGAATTTTGTAAATAAGTTTTTTAATGAAAATTTATATTTATCAATGATTTATATTTTTTGTTGTTATTGTTGTATAAAATATATATGTATGTGGAAATATAAATTAATATATTATTAATTAAATTAATTTATTAAACATGTGAGAAGAATAATGTTATAAATTGGCAGACAAAAATAATTAAATTAATTATATAACATAAATATACGTATGTTAATTGAATTGTATTAATTTTTTAAATTATATTAGTTAAATACATAATTTGAAACAAGTAAAATTAAAAAAAAAATTAAAGAATAATATACAATATTAATATTAATTAAATTAATTATATATTACTTAAAAATATATATGTAATTAAATTAATTAAATTGGTAAAAATAACCATCTAATTAATAAATTATACAAATAATTAACAGTGCTTTATGATATTATTAATTATATATTATTTACATGGTTATTTCAAAAAAAAATTATATACTATTGACATGTATATATAATTAATAGTTATATAACAGTGTTTGATTATATGACTCACTGTGGTGCTATTGCTTTCTAATTTTACACACACATATATATAGATATAAGATATTCAACAATAGTTTTACAATTTTGTTTTCTAAATCTGCAATATATATATATATATATGTGTGTATATATATTGCCTTTTACAGAAAAATAAAAGCCCAAATAACTTTAGTTTCCTTTCCCTCAACTTCCCAATTTTAATTTGTTCTTGGTTTGATCTTATGGTTAATTTGGGAAAAGCTTCAGACTGTACTCAAATGCTTATGTATGTATATACGCACAAACATATATATATAGATATATATATGTATATATATGAGATTAGAGGTGACTTTAACTTGAAGCAACATCTATATATATATATATATATAATATTATGTCCATGCAACTATATATGCAGGGAGGCAGCTTGGTTTCTTGAAGGATTTGGCGTATACACTTCCAAAACCTGCTAATAATTACCAAGAAGAAATAAGTTCAATTCAAAGAACACGTACAAGTCTTCATGACGCCATTAATTCTCCACCTTCCTCTTTCCCTCCTTTCGCTCTTCCTTCTCCACCTGTTCTAATTCCCAAGGTAATTCATTATTACTTCATACATACATACATACATACATACGTATATACCCACATGTAAATACATGTGTAATATCTGTTTATTTTGTTTAATTATACAGAAGAAATCCACTTGGAACTTCCCATTCATGTTTGAATCAGTTCCATTACTGGGTACATCAAATAATGATTTAAGGTATATGGTTCATCACACTTTTCAATCTTGATGATTTAAGATATATGTATATATATATATATATATATGTATATACATTCATGTACATGTTTTCGTATATGCAGACCATCAAATTCAGGCGGTCAGTTGACAATATTTTATGCAAATGATGTGTATGTTTATGAAGATGTTACCCCTCACCAGGTTAGGTTAATTTTCTCTCTGTTCTTTCACCATGGATTGATTTGAAATTTACTTTTTTCTGGGTTAAAAAAATAAAATTACCTTAGGTAAAAAAAACTTTTATTTAATTAATTTTTATGCTTGAATTAATATTAATAAACACATTTTTCACGTGTAAATCAAATTTTTTAAGTTTTTAATTAAGATTTAATTAATAAAGAAGGTAGAAATTAAATTCAGGTGGAAGCAATTATGGAATTAGCCAAAAGTGGTTCTGGGAAGAAGAAACAACCAGCTGAAAATGAAGAACATCAAACCAAAAAACAATGCCCTGATCCCAACCCAGCTGCTACCTCAAGATCGCAGCAGACTTCGAGAGCAAGTCAGTACTAACTACTATATATATATATATGTAGTACAAATATTATGTGCATGACTGCGTATGTATGTATATATATGTATGTATATGTATATATGTTATAAATCTGAGACGTAATTTTACATATGCAGCTGTGCCTCAGGCTCGTAAGGCCACACTGGAACGTTTTCTACACAAGCGGAAGAACAGGTACATACGAGACATATATATACACATATATATATATATATATACATGGTATATAACATCACGGTTATTTTTTAATTGAGATTTTATAAATTAATTATAATTAATCATTATAATATATATTTGTACTTTCACGTTTCGATTATTTTATTGATTGCCAGCAGGTTATTACATCAGCTGCGATTATTATCTTTAATTTTCACTAATTAATCCAATATTAAATAAAAATTAAAGTGCATCATAACTTAAAATTCCATGAATTTCATGATGCTTAGAAATGATAAAAATTAAAGGGTAATTTTTTAAAAAAATTATAATTTACATGAAATTTTATTTATAAAATTAAATATTATATTCATAATTTTACACTACTTGGGTAGTGCAGATCTATTGACATATAATATATATATATATATATGTATATGTATATGTATACATATTAAGTAGAATTCATATATTGTTGGTGTGATTTCCACAGGTTGAACAAATGGGTGCCTTACAATTCCATGCAGAAGAAACCATCTCTCTGCTTCAATGTTGATATTGACTTGGAGTCCTTTCCAACACAGCATGAATGCTAAACTCCAATCAATTTATTTTTATCTTTTTAATATTATTATTTTAATAATAAATAAATATATATATATATACATATGTGTGTGTGTATATATATATATATACATGAACTTTATTAAGGTTCAAGCCTCTTATGTCAAGTTCATTCTTGTTTTGAGTAAATTCCATGAGTTCATTAAGCATAGGATTCTATGATCAAGATTACTTTACAATGTTAGGCAATGAATTTCAATTTCTAGTATATTTGACATTGGAATTTGTGAATTTTATTGAATATATAGGATACTAGTATTATTTGGAATTTGTGAATTATACGATCGAGATTACTTTTACACTGTTTGATATGATTCACATATTTATATTTTAATTAATCTATTTATTTCTTATTTAGTTTAATAATATCATATACATGATGAAGAATCATAAAAAGGGTTCAAAAATTATAAGTAGAGAAGTTATACCCTCCACACTTAAGTGGAACAGTGCACTTTCGTTTAATTAGAGCTTCAGGGGTTCGTGTTTTACTTTACATTAAAGGGTCCACTCAAATTCGTCTGGATAAAACTTATTTCAATCTTTTAAGAAATGTTTTCTTTAGAGATAATAATGTGAAAAATTTTAGTAAATGCTACCTATATCATTGTCAATCAAAGTTAGTGGATCATTTCCATAACTATAATGCATGCCCTTTTTGTTTTCAACTTGACTAGGAAACCTATTTTGATTTCAAACAATTTGTGGCCCAAGCTTTTAGCATAATTGTGAACTAAATTAGGGAACTCTATTATACAATTCATAGACAAAGTGACGGTCTAAATATGGACACTTTTGATTATATATCACAAAGACTAAAACTCATTTGCAAGATAGGACTCTTAGGATCCAAAAATTCATCAAAGAAAGGAATTTTTCCTTCCTTAAAAGCCTTGAAGTTACATTGAGGGCCCAACTCATCGATCTCTTATATTGGGAAGAAGTGATTCGGTCCTTAAAAGTATATATTAGTACATATCCTTTACTAGCCATAAGATCAATAGACAGTATCTCGAGTTTTAAAGCATGTATGACATGCATAATCTGAGTGAGTTTAAATATCATAGTGTATAGTCGTAAACTCATCTAGAAGGCTGGTTCAAACTTAATATAGATGATTTCACTGAAGACAACCATGATGCAACTACTTGTGGTCTAATTAGAGATAGACAATGTTGTAATACCCGGAATTAATTTTAAAAAAATTTAAAATAATGTATAAAATATAATTTTTTAATTTATAAATTTTTATTTAATGTAAAAATTAAGAAAAATAGGTGAAAGATAAAATTGAAAATAATTTTGGAAAAAAATGGGTGAAAATTTAGGTTATATGGGTGTTTTTAAAAGAAAAATCAGAAACTGATGGTAAAAACGTAATTTAAAAAAATATGTCACGTAAGACCGGCCAGTCAGCAGCTCCGACAAACCGGAGTGCGCCGCGTGACAAGGCACGCTGACGCGGTACCACATAGGAGGCCACGCTGGCAATCCACGTACCCACGATCGGACGATTTAGATTTGTTCCCACGTGTGTAGACGGTCCAGATCCATTCCCTCGTCAGACGCGATCGAACGGTCGTAATTAAACGCGATGAACGGTTTAAATTCATTCCCTCTTTAAATGCGATCGTACAGTCCAGATTAAATCGCAATGAATGGTCCATATTCATTTTCTATTTAAACGCGATCGGATGATCGAGATCAAATACGATGAACGGTCCAGATTAAAGAGAGATAGATATAAATACCTCACTTCACATCGAACCCTAACCCTAGCCGTTAGCCCCCCGCCGGAGAAGAAGAATCAGTCGTCGGAGAAGGGAGTCGACTGCCGCCCCCCGCCGCGTCGGAGCCATCTCCGACTGCCAAAAAAAGTTAAAAAAATTTTATTCGCTCAAATTTTAATTTTGAACACCCCCATGACTAAATTAGACCAAAACGACCAATGGATGAGCTGAAAATCATGGGTAAAGTCCGGCGGTGCTGCGGCAGAAAAAATAAAAAATCGCATCTAATGAGGTCCTTCCCAATTCCTGTTTCGTGTGATTTTTCTACCATTGTATTCACCATTCTGTTTCGCATAGGTTGATCGAAGAAAAATACCCAACCGCAAAGGTGAGCTTACAGAGCTGCCGTACCAAAAAATTCCACTGCCGATAAACTTCTGTTTTTCGATTTTTTTTCGGTCAACTGAGATCCTTTAACGTATTTTCTTGCAAGGATGAGTATAAAATCGGTCAAAACTGACCTAAAATGGCCAGTCCGAAGCATATTGTTGTCGCAACCGGCAGTGTCATTGTTAGAGCACGGCGGTGCCGCCGTGCAAGAATTTCGAAATTGGCTAGAAAATGTTTTTAACACCGATTTTCGATTTTTTGAGGTATTTCTAGGCCCTTAAAGCATGTTTAACATCTGAAGAAAAATTCAGAAAATTCGGGACCGCCAGTAGATGCAGCTGAAAACTTAATGTTTCGGACATCGATTCGAGTAAGAATTCATCACTCTATTTTTTATTATGGAATTAAAGTCTAAATATAAATAATATAATAATTTATTATATCATTTTAGCTTTTTCTATTCTATATAAAATCATTAATATCATATCATTATATAAATTTTTAATTTTAAACTTGTAAAATGCACTTCACAAACAAATAATTTCATTCACCTAAAAAAAAAGTGCATTATGGAACACAATTTTAACATAATCATTTACTCAATTCCATTATTTCATCCAGAGCACAATGCAACAATATTGAACATTGTTAAAAACATGAATAGAAATTAGGAAAGTTGAACCATAAATATGTACGTCGGCGTGAAAGCGAGAATAGTGAAATGATCTTAAACTCCCACAAAAATCAATAAATGATAATTGAGTAGCAAACAATTTAAACAGAAATCAAGTAAAATCACGTTGCATTCGATAGTCGAGAAATTAACTTTATAAGAGATTTTCGGATATCCCGGTTGCTTATGGTCCAAGGGTAATAATGCTCATGGGTGACCCTAGCTCATTTATTTGCATTTATCATGCACTAAAATCGTCTAGCAAAAGCAGCATAGGAAACATATTCAATCTTAACAAAGTACAGAATCGAACAGGATGATCACAAGCATAAGGTACACTGCTATAATCCTTGAGATAAACCCGAAAAAGTTTTAAGTTTATTCGGCTGTTTGTGACAAACTGAAACAATGAAAGAACAAAAGGAAGTACATATAACAATACATGACAAACAAGCCTCAAGAGTTCCATTTCTTTAGGAAACACTTTTTAATGATACAGATGAAGCCAAATGAGAGAGAGATAAAGAAACTCCCGGGGGGGTAGAACTGCCATGTTCCCCACTTCATCTTTCGTAAGCAAAGATAAAATTTTGTGTAAGGTTGAACCATTGCTTATTTGGCAGATTTTGAGTGTTTGATAAGCCAATCAATAACGACATCTATGTTTATAGAATCCTTACACGAGATCATATAACAGCACACTTCTCTATCAGTGATTGTGTCGAGGCCACTGTAAACCAACCAAGAAAACACACACATGCTTCTAAGATATTTGACAGTGGGGAAAGGAATTTGTTTCGATGGTAACATGTAAATTTAATAAAACCAATTGTAAGGGCTAGAACTTACAGCTGATCCACCAAAGCTTGCTTGGAAATAGCTTCCGATTTGTCAATTTTGTTGCCCAGAACGAGCACGGGGATTCCGGTTAATGAAGGTTTTGTCAGAAGATCATGCAACTCACTTCGAGATATGGGAACACTATCTCGATCAGCAGCATCAATAACATACCTGCCTTGTATTCATCAAAAGGTTAACAACAAACCGATCAAATTTCAAATATGCTCAACATTGAAAATTCTTGACCCACCTGAAAAAGGCACCGGCTTTTTTATAATGAATGAAAACCAAAAGACTGACATGATTTCGGTTAGAGGAAAAGTTAACATTTTGATTAAAAAGAGGAGAAATTTAAGATTTAACAGGACTGAGGGCATTACACAATTGCAGAGACACCACGACAGTAACGCTCCCACATTGTACGAAACCTCCTTTGCCCTCCTAGATCCCAAAGCTTTATTGTGACGTTCCCTTTTGTAACTTTCCGCATATTGAACCCAACCTGGTTTCCAGAAAATAAAGAATCCTTGCAACAACCTTCTCAAATCATAATAAAATTAGAACTTGGAGGTTGTTGAAGTATGAGATACCTACAGTTGGAATCATGTCCTCACTGTAGCCTCCTGTCTGGAAAATACAAACACAAATATGATTCAGACAATGCTGCTATATAGATTCTAAGTGAATATTATAAAGGGTGTTTTACTCACAGCAATTGCATTAACGAGAGATGTCTTCCCAGCATTTTGGAGACCCACAAGGGAAAGTTCCATTTCCTGTTTAAAGAACAAGCTGACATACGAGCACGAGTAAGAAGCAGAAAGATTTCATAGCTTCGTAAGTGATTGCACAACTCTAATAACTCAAATTTCACATTTTTATTCTCAACTTCATAAAGCAAAGATACTTCTTGAAAAAACTAATGATAAACACAGAGTCAGGAGGATACAAAGTTATATGAACATATATACATATATATATATATGATTGATATATCTAGGAGAGCAGCTAGGATAAAGGAACATATAGGTGCAAACTGCAGATGTAATTCCATGCAACTCGGAAAATTTATAGAGAACATATATTTTTACGATAAAAATACAGACTCTTTGTCGAAAAGAAACTACCAGTAAAGTTAAAATTACACTAGTTACTTGGATAGAAATCTGTGCTTACATACTCTAGGTATTTCTATTGTTAAAATCATATAATTGATCCATCATAGTGATGAGTCTCTACAGAAAAACCGATCCTTTTTTGTGTAATTCATATACAATTAACAAAAAAAATGAAAAATAACATCCATAAATTCACAAAGTAGTATCAATATTTCCGGAGATGATCTTGTGTAAAAGAAGCATCTAAATAAAGAGAAAGAAAACAAATCTTGGGCCTCAATGGCTCCCCTAATCTTCTATGCTGGGGGAATCACAGGAAAACGCCTTGTGTATTCCCACCTTGGTATTATGCACAAATCTCCATTAACTTACAGACAAGATTAACAAACATCTTTGCAAGAAAGATGGTCTTTTGCCATTTGAATAAATATTTTTCTTGAATAGGATTTAAATCATTGTGTTGAGGGTTAAATGAAAAAAGAACTAGATACTGGAAAGAAAACAAGTAGGAAAACATCATATGATTAGGGGAATCCAGAAACATGAGGAAAAAGCCAAGAATTAGCTCGGAATTTTCAATACCATGAACTCGAAATCACGGGTACCATCCTTCAAGATTACCTTTAGCCTCCGTTACACCCAAATTGTGAACACATGAAAATCTTCCAGACTTATTAAAGAAAAAGCAAAAAAACAGTAAACTGACAAGGAAAGTCGAGAGCTATCATTCAAAAAACTCTAGTTCGACTTCAAAGTCTCGTTCTTCTGAACATATAAAAAATTAAGAACCACCTGTGTAACATAGCACGATCTAATAAAAAATTCTTGCCTTTAAAACTGTAAAAAAAATTTAAGCAGTCCAATTTTCTTGTTCTCCTGTCAAAATTAAGTACTGGGTATACTTGAAATCTCGAAAAGCAAGTAACCAACATACATAAACAAAATATTGAAGTTGGAAAAATTGAAAAGCTGAAGAAAAAATTGGGAGCAGAGAGTTGAAAAGAGGAAAAGAGGGTTACCTCCGGAGCCAATCAAGAAGGTACTCCCAGAAACCCATGTGGAGAAACTGAGAGAAATGTGAGTGAAGATTTTGGAAACCCTAACTTTCTCGAGGGATAGAAACAAACAAGAAACAGAGGGAAAGTATAGGAAATGAAACTTCGCCAAGCCGAAAGGTGTCTTCTCTTTGTCCGTTTTCTGGTACTTTGTCTTTTTAACAGCTCGGTGCTTGCCCTGCCCCTACTCCCACTAGTTTCCTTAAAACACATCTTAAAATATTATTCAGTTTTTGTTAATAAGGTTCAGAAAATAAAATTTGATACTTATTAAATATATCAAAATATTATTACATATAATTCTAACAATGTTTAATATATTATATTGTTTTGTCTTTTAACAAATAATAATAATATTACTTGATATTATAAATTTATTTTCCTAATTCGATGATGGGATAGTTAGAATTTGCATTTAGAAGTAAAAGCTACCATTATATCATAAGATAGAGAATAATTTTTTTCTCATATAGAATAGGAGGAACGAGTTTTTTCATAGTAATAAGGATAACTTCACGACTCTGTCTACATTTGCGATCATTAAATTAGCTTTGGTCAGAGTATAAGAATTTTGAGATTACTTAGACTACTTATTTTACAGATTAATTTAAGTTTAACATGGATTAGTTGACTTACAGTGACCCTGACAACGCTACAGCTAACGAATTTATTCGTAAAATCAAAAGTATTTGAATGGTTGGTTTTACGCGCCACATGGGGCACAATTTTCCAATGGATGTTGAGGTTGTTAGGCTCTGGAAGACCTCAAGCTTGCGTGGGATATAGGGATTATGAAGTTTATCCTCGAAGTTGATTCTCTCTATTTTATGCAAGCCCTCCAAATAAGGGACGTACTTGAATTTTCTACCTCAAATTATGAGACTTCGTTTAGTGATTAATTGAACAAAGATCGTAAAATTCAGATAATTCATGTGCGAATTATATTTTATTAGATAGATGTACTATCTCCTTGAGAGTACTGTTTAGCTTATGAACCGTTGGAAGTTCTTAAACTCTTTATTATTATTTTTATTTGAATTATTATAATCCTGTAATATTCAGATCCAAAATTTAGTCCGTGATTAATTTTAATATTAAAAAATATTAATTTAATGTAAAATTATAGAAAAAAATAGGTTGAGAATGAAATTGAAAACAATTTTAGAGAAAAATGGGTGAAAATTTGGGTTCGGATGATGTTTTTAAAAGAAACATCGAAAATTGGGGGTCATAACACAATTAAAAAAAATTTTGTCACGTAGGACCACCTAATCAGCAGCCTCGACGAACCAGAGTGCGTTGCGTGGCAAGGACGCTGGCGATCTGCGTGCCCTGCGATCGGATGACTCAAAAGCATTTCCGTGCGGGTGGACGGTTCGGATCTGTTCTTTCCTCAAATGCGATCGGACGATCGTGATCAAATGCGATGAATGACCCAAATTCGTTTTCTCTTTAAATGCGATTGGACGGTCGAGATCAAATCGCGATGAACGATCTAGATTAATTTCTTATTTAAACGTGATTGGACGGTCGATATCAAACGCGATGAACGGTCCAAATTAATGCTAGACGGGTATAAATATTTTGTATGACACTGAAACTAAACCCGAGCCGCCAGAGAAGAAGAACCAGCCGCCGGAGAAGAGAACCGACCGCTGACCGTTGCCGTGCCGGTGCCAAAAAAGGTTGACTAAAGAAAAATATTCAACCACGAAGGTGAGCCAGCAGAGTCGTTGCACTGAAAAATTTCACCATCGGTAAGTTTCTGTTTTTTTATTTTTTTCAACCAACCAATGAACCCTAACGTATTTTTTTTTTTTACAGAGATATGTATAAAACTAACTGAAATCGGCTAAAATCGGCCGAAAACGGCCAGACCGAGGTAAACCACCATCGCTAGTGATGGTGCTGTCGCCGGACCACGGAGATGCTGTAGTACCGAAACCCTGAAATTGGCCGAAAATAGTTTTTTTTTACCAATTTTGAATTTATATGGTATTTTCAGGGACGTAAAGTGTGTTTTAATCTTTGGAATAAAATTCAAGAAACCGCCAGTAGCCACAGTAAAATGTTTAGTATTTTGGACACTGATTTGGGTAAGAATCCCTCACTTTATTCTTTATTATGCAATTGAAACTTAATAATTGATAATATGGTATTTGTATAATTTAGAAAACTTTGAGAATAATTACATGTTATTAATGGAGGCGAAATCAGACACCGAGAGAGGCCACATGGGAGCTAGAATCAGACTTCAGAGCCAAATATACCCAACTGTTTGATTGAGAGTGAGAGAAACAAATTTGAGGGACTAAATTTCTTATAAGAGGAGGGGAGGAGAGTTGTAACACCCTAAATTAGTTTTTTTATAATTTAGGATTTTATTTTAAATATAATAAAATAATTTTTCAAATTTTTTTATTTATTTAGAGTAAAAATTGAAATAAAATTAATGAATGATTAAATTAAAAATAATTTTGGGGAAAATGGGTGAAAATTTGGGTTTTGGGGATATTTTTGAAAAAAAATCAGAAACCAGATGTCAAAATACAATTTAGAGAAGTTTTGATACGTCAGACGTCCGCTCAGCAGGCCCGATGAATCAAGACACGCCGCGTGGCAGCGAACGTTGACATGGTGCCACGCGAGCGATCCACGCACCTGCAATCGAACGGTCCAGATCCGTTCCCGCGCACACGGACGACTCAGTGCGTTCCCTCCCCAAATGCGATCGAACAGTCAAATTTGAACGCGATCAAATGGTTTAGATTAGATTGTGATGGACGGTTCAAATTCACTCTCTATTTAATCGCGATCGGATGATCCAAATCAAACGCGATGGACGGCCTAA